GAGTTATTTTGGTTCCTACAAACAGGTGGTCTCAGGCAATCATTAAGAAAACGCTTTGGGTAATTGTTTCCCCCTAAAACAATTAGAACATATTCATGTTCATTAGCTTGAGAATCACTGTTTGACGGCAACGATTCAGCTCTTTGAAGCAAAGTTTTTGCTACGGATCTTTTATGGCTTACTGGGTGATGAGAGTCGTATGACAAATATTTGTCTGTGTGTGTGGGTTTGCGATAAACATCAGTCTCTAACTTCCCTTCGACAGTTCTGTGTACATTCAAATCTAAAAAAGCTAAATGTCCATTTATTTCACGTTCTACCGTGAATTGGATGGACGGCTCAATAGAATTTAAATATTGCAGCAGAATATCGATCTCATTTGTAGAAACCGCAGAGATGACATCATCGACGAAACGTTTCCAAAACGATAGGGACACGAGAACAGAGGCTAAAGCTCTTTGTTCGACATCTTCCATTACTAAATTAGCAATTACTGCCGAAACTGGTGACCCCATCGCTGTTCCAAAAACCTGTTGATAATAACAGCCCTCAAACACAAAGTATGTGGCGTTGAGACAAAAAGACAGAAGATCAATAATTCTAAGACAGAAGATCAATGATTCTATTGAGCCGTCCATCCAATTCACGGTAGAACGTGAAATAAATGGACATTTAGCTTTTTTAGATTTGAATGTACACAGAACTGTCGAAGGGAAGTTAGAGACTGATGTTTATCGCAAACCCACGCACACAGACAAATACTTGTCATACGACTCTCATCACCCAGTAAGCCATAAAAGATCCGTAGCAAAAACTTTGCTTCAAAGAGCTGAATCGTTGCCGTCAAACAGTGATTCCCAAGCTAATGAACGTGAATATGTTCTAAATGTTTTAGGGGAAAACAATTACCCAAAGCGTTTTCTTAATGATTGCCTGAGACCACCTGTTTGTAGGAACCAAAATAACTCCGAGGTCAAGGTGTCACAGAACCAATCAAGAGAATCTTAAGTAATTGTAATATTAAGGTTGCCTTAAAACCCTATTTGACCATAGGCCATATTTTCGCAAAGCCAAAAGATCCTGTTGAAAAAAATCAGACGACTCATGCTATATATTCTATACCATGCGGTGACTGCGACAAAGAGTATTTGGGTCAGTCTAAACGCCAGTTTGGTACACGGCTAAAAGAACATCAAAAGGCTGTTTCAACTTTAGACAAGGGAAAATCAGCTTTAGCCGAACATGTATGTTACACCAAACACGAGATTGCATGGGAAAACTCTAAAGTAATTACCACACACAATCGCTATGGTCAAAGACTTTGCCTAGAAGCGTGGCATATAAATATGAGTCATCATGCTTTGAATAGGGATGACGGCGCCTATTTGCCAGAAGAATATATGCATCTTCTTGGCAGGTGACGTCATCCCTTGGGTATTTAAGAAGCCACGATCCCAGTTTTAGATCACCCCTGATGAAGACACTAGACTGGAGTGTCGAAACGTTGGGTCTTGATTACAATTCGACTGGGCTTTGTAATCATTTATTTAAACCAGAGTAGCGAGCGAAACATACTTATACAATGTTGTAACAAACTCAAATGTGAACAGAATTCAGTAACAATGGATTAAGTTTTTATCTAGCTATATACAGGTCAAATACATGATAAAAAGTACCTTCGAAAAATGGGAACAGATTAATAATACTATTTAGTTCGAACACACTGACACGTGACGACTATTTAGGATATAAATCGATAAAAATCTAAAGTATTTTGTCGATATCAAATCGATAAATATTGAAGAAAATTGATGAATATATTGATAGTAATCGATAAAATTGGCTATAACTTTTTGTGACTGTGAAATTTGAAATAACAGATCCTTACCAATAACAGATCCTTGCTATTGCCAATCCTTGTTCAGGTCATGTGGATAGTTCCCAGATTTGGGGACCTGAGCCTCTGATTGGACAGAACCGGTGCTTTATTTGAATAATTTCTGACAAGGCGTAAAAACCCCCTGTGGTTCCGGTTCCCGACCGACCCTATTTTTTTCTGCGGACCCTATTATTATTTCAACACTATTGACCGTGCGACTAATTTTCTCCGGGTGGTTGTGGGCTGCTGCCAAAATGCCGTTTGTTGTCATACTAAATACTGAAAAAACCTTGAAAAAATATTTTAAGAAAAATTATTTCCGACTTACCGAACCTAATTTTTTTGCGATGTGAAACTAGAACCACGGGTATTTTTTTACACCCAAATAAACTATTTCATTGGTTAATTGATAATTAGCATGTGTGTGTTTAAAATAAAAATAAAAATACAAAAATTTTAAACTCGGAGATTTCCTCAAGAATCACGATTTCCTTCAGGGCATTCAAAAGTTTGAAAGACTTGAAAAATAATCTGTTGATAGGTTTTGTTTGTGGAAACACCACGTAAATTTATTACTGCAGTAATAAATTTACGTGGTGTTTCCACAAACAAAACCTATTATATTTTATCACCATGCAAACATACAAAGAACTTATAATCTGTTGAGTTTAATTTTGTTCTGTATCGAAGTTTAAGAAAATCAAGATAAAATTCTAAAGTTTTGGACACTCAGCGAACAATGCTGACAAATATATATTTGTCAACAACAAAATATCAGACGCAAATTGACTATTTATAATTGACGATTTAATAAATTAACAATCTGTTTATATTTTCCGACCCCTCGCAATAAAGCATTTTCTTTACATTTTCTGTAATGTGTTTGGCTTTTTACACTGACCTGAAAGGTCAAGTGTCTTAAATCCCTAAATATCTGTTTTTTTCCTGTTTTTTTTCTTCTGTTTTTTCGTCGTCGAGAAATCGAGTTTGCGTTAGCGCATCGCAGGCTCAGTTTCCAGTGTTTCAGTCGTTCCAGTTTACTATAGAGATCATTTTCAAGATGGCGGCCATTCAATGAGTGACTATTTCAGTCTCAAACAATTTATTCATTTGTCAACGAATTTTCCCCCGAGGGTACTAATTCCCCCCGGCTATTGGGTACCCGCCGTGCGAGGGTACTAATTCCTCCCGGCTATTTACACCCGGGGAAACGAAAGCATTAGCGAGGTCTAAAGTTCATCAATGATCGCGGGCGCTCACCAACGGTGTTGAGTGGGTGGTCATCACTGATCTCAAAATATGGCTGTTTGCCAGGAGTGAAGAAGGCAAAAAATATAAAAAAATACATGTAAGAAAGCTTGGAAAATCGTTTCACATTTTGTACAACTTTTTTACAATTTTTAAACGTAAACATTGATAAGAATTGATATTGTATGATAAATCCTAAAGTATAGGGCAAGTTTGTTTCAATTGTTTATGTATGACTTTGTATTTAATAATATAGACTTTGTTCTTGATGTTCAAGTCTTTCCTATGCATTGTTTGCGAAAGTCTCTTAGTTAAATGAACTTTTGTAGAAGTTCATGATAAAAAGGAAAGCAAATTATTTTCATTAGCGTCCTGTACGAATTAAATTTGTTTTATTTCAAAGTGCGAGTAATAAGTTGAAGCTTGAGTTGAGAAGTTTATAAATATCGGCAAAAAGCAGTTAATTCACATTTAAAAACTTTTTACGTAGAGTTTCGTTTTGAATTTTACATTAAAATAAAGCCCATAGAAACCAAAATATTATACCTACTTTATATATATTTTAGAAATTGATAGTTCTGTATTTAAAAGTGTTCAAATTTCGTGAGCCTGCGTTCAGTGTTGGCGTAATTACGAATACTATTGGAAAATATAGGCGAGGGGTTGTTGCATGCAT